TTTTTAATGCCTGGGTCTATCATTTAAAATAAACAACTTCAAAAATACGTCACGACAATCGTGTGTGTTATTGTTTGGGCTGGTGATTTCGGTTTTTATTTAGTGAAAACATACCGTAAGTAACGTTTTTTAAGTTTACCCTGAATATAAATGTTTATAAACTATACTTTAAGGAGTAATTTCATGGTAAACGTTAGAACCACTCAAACGGAATATTATCATATTTATCCAAGTACACCAAAAATTTCATTAGTGCTTTTTAAGTGCAGGATTTGCGGTGTATTACTGCATTTTATTTGAGATGTTTTTGTTGATAGTACGGAGGGTATTTATTTAGCAATGCAGAATAAAATTTTTTTATTTATAAAAACTTGTATTTAAACTGATGACTGAGGAGGAGCGCATCGCGTGAGCGGATAGTTAAAAAAGTTATTAATTAAATATCTTTTTTTAATTTTACAAAGAAACATTCCAATTTACGCTGCGTTAAGTTTTACAAATTATTTTATTTTAACAATATGAATTTTTATTAAGTTAAATTTATTATTAATTACGAATGTAAATTAGAATAAATTAAATCATTAATTAGTTTTAAAGTCTTATATCTCTTTGGGATTTTTCATTACTTTTTCAATAAAATCCAAATACTGTCCAAGAATCTGGTCACCCTAGTGATTCAGTAATAAGGCTCACGTTCGTTGCACGTGTCTTCGGAAAAGTGGCGACTAATAAAGGCTAATTTATCTTGCTCGTCTTTAATTAAATTCGGACGCCTTTTACCGATTTTACTAGATGAATGTTGTATTATACGAATTTATTATCCGCAAACGGTGGTATAAGAAACGATTTTATTTGAATTTCTAGTAAACGGAGGATGGAATCGGGTTAGAAATAATCACGGACCCAAAATCAACAAATAACCGAGTGCTCAACTGGAACTAAGGTACTTTCTACCGAAGCTAAAGCTGAGAGGACAAGCATCAATAGTATTTGTTATTTTGAAAACAACAAGACAATGTCTCGTATTTTGCATATTTGGTGTCAAAGGATAAAACCCCTCTTTGGGTTGTAATTAAGTTTTATTGAATACCAGGATGTTTCGAAACCCTGATATTCAAGTTTTTTTGTGAAATTACTACTTTGTTATAATTATTAAATTAAGGTCGAACACTTAGAAAAAATTCCTTCAATCCAGTTGGATTCGAACTAAAGTTTCCCAGCAAATCATACCAGACAATATGCCAACAATGGCCGTAACGCCATCTGTGAGAAATCTAAGAAAGTTTTTCGTCACTCAGCAAGGTACCTTTACAGCTACAAACCGCTGACTAGAGATGTCACTTTAATAATTGTAATTAAGTTTTTTTGAGTTGACCGAGCTCTATTGCTAGTAAAGAATCTCTCAGATAGTGACTTTATTGAAGTACACTGTATTGTAGTGTTGGTATTTAAAATTTCAATTTAAGTTTTAGAGGAAATTTCCTTTTTCAAAATGTCAAAATTTCTTATTTGAACTCAGTCACTTTATTACTGATGTTGTTATATACATATACATTATGTGTAGACAAAAGCAATTTACATTTAAGATTGTAATTGAACTTACATAGAGACAGTCCAGAGGCCAAAGTGTTATTGACTCTAGCTCACAGGGAACGTCTCGACCGACATCCCCCCACCAAATGCGGCCGCGTGAAGGTATAATGCTAAGGGTTTCGCAAATTGGCGCACTCCAGATAACGAATTTATTAATTGCATTAACCCCCCCCAATGGATATATCAGCGCATAATTACTTTACTAGGGGTGTGCCTCTACATTGTGTAACTTGTCGATTAATCGTACTTTGTAATAATTAATTTACCTTTTAGACCATGGAAGATATGTCTAATAGTACAATGTGTATTAAATAAGAAATTAAGATAAATAAGAAATTACTAACGAGAGTTTGTTAGAATTTCATGAATCGAGCTTTGTAATTTTTCCCGCCCGTGCTGCGTACAATGTTTTTCATCACGTTTAATAGATGCAACGAAAGTTTAATTCGTATATGAATAAATATCGCTTCACAACACATTTACGAATTTTGCAAATGGCCGGTTCTTTTTAAACAGATTGCCAGCTATTCTTCCATAGATAATACAGCTCGAACTAAAATGTTATAAAAGGCATAGACAGAAAATGCCTATTTTTCTTTTTACACTTCAAGTTTATGCGAAATTCGCACACAAAATCTTTTTTCTTAATCTTGACGTAAAAATCGTGACACTGTTTACGAACAAGTGTAATGAAAAATATAATAAATTAATAAAAACGGGTGGCAAAGGAAAATCAATCTTACACACTTCACAGCACAGGATGATTATTGCTTACCAAGTTACCAGGTACGTAAACAGACTCTGCCTAGACGACACGTAATGGAGTTCTCATACATTGTTCCAAGTAGGACGCAGCTCTGGTGCAACCACTAGTGCTACAGATAAACCCTGTCTACTAGAATTACGATAGGTATAATCTAAAGCGTTGTTCCAAATAAGGAAGTAGTCATTCCTCGAGGGAAAATCTGACCGCCGCGATGCAGAACTTGCGACATCGATGCCAATGCCATCTACGAACAATGACGAAACTAATTTTATCTTGGTAGTACGCTTTTGTTACCGATTTCATTTAACTTAATTACTTTAACTTAGTACTAGACGTGGGCTGGGTTTCCACTACGTTATGGATATTCCAAAGATTCGCGCGAAGCGTTACGCTTCCACATTTATATGGCGAACGGCAAGACAGTGGAATTCCCTGCCTGCAGACTTGTTCTCCGAACGCTATAACTTGGACCTTTTCAAGGCGAAAGTGAATAGGCATTATTTAGGTGTGCATGCGACATCCTCGATCTCATCGTCACTTTCCATCAGGTGAAATGTATGTCAAATGCGCACTTATTTTTATAACAAAAGTAATTCTTTTTTAAATAATTAACTCTTTAATAATATTTTTTTTATTTGTACATGTCATGAAACGTAATGTATAAGGCTATATGTAGTATGCTATTTACCATTACTTATTGTTGTTGTTAATGTTAAAATTGTTTGTTTGTAGAAAGGAAATGTTTTGTTGGGTAGAAAAACGTATGTTCATCTTGATAGTTTATTTGTAGTATACCTAACGCATGTTAAATCTTTTACAAGTAAAATAACTTAAAATGCATAACAATGTAGGGTGTGCTCGTACATAATGGTAAATTATTAGTTAAGATAAATTTAATTTTGTTATTTATTTTATAATAAGTATGATGTACTTGAAAAATTATTACATCAACATTTGATACGAAGTACCACTCTATTTTCTAATTAGAGAGGGTTAGGCGCTTCTAACAATAAATAATAATTAATTTAGATTAATAGCCGGCACCTGAGGTCAATATTACCCAAATTTTACCAACAAATACTGTAGTAAAAGTAATTCGGGGTCGACTTCCCAAGAGAAATTACAAATTTTTATTTTACGCATAACTTCATTCGTAGTAATTTTCCGTATCGTTTTCCATTTACATATAAATTACACAATTAGACAACAAGCCTATGTTATTGATTTTATTGAATATCATGATGTTTTTTAAGAATAGGAATAAATTTGTTGCATAGTTATAAGGAATTAGATAAGGTCTTAAAATATTAAAAAGATCTTTGTTTGTAAGGTAGTATAGAATATTATATAAATGTCACAAATTAAGAAGAAAGAAAAAAAAAAACAATTTGTAAATAAACATATCACATCACTAATCATCAAATTTCTCTTTGTCATAAAAACTCTCGTACACTATAGTATAGATTAGTACACAACTATTCCCGTAGATAGTATTTAAGTTTCACGTACTCGACTTTTTTAAATTCATTCGGTATGCTGGTTTGCATAAGAAGATATGACCGACATTACGTAAAGCCATTTTTGTAACTAATTTGTTTTATATTGACAAGCTGCAATTTATCACAAATACTCTAATTTCTAGTGATAACAAACAAATCAACTAGATGATTTCACTGATTTTTGTAGACGTGTCGACTAGTATTTTATTTTGCTCGGGATCAGCGCCATCTACCCACACAAGCGGTAATTTATCCATTAGTTTGTAACACACAATGCCATCTATTGACACGCATATTTGTCAAAGTGCGGTAAAATAATGTTAGCCCATGATCGGTATTTGAATAATTTTAGAAGAAAAAACTGACTTCTTATATTTCATATTAAAGAGAAATCAATTGATATCCACGGCCATTTATATTATATAAACTACTTCCACGGTATCGATCAACGCCATCTAGTATGAGACGGAATATTGACCTTTTTCAGAGATATGATTAATATGTACTAGGGAGATTAAGCATTCTTCTTGATTTATTCGGTCCAGGCTTACACTAATATTTATGTGTATTCGTAATATACTAACAACCTCACAGGAACAACATTTGTTCCATAACTTTTATTAATTTATTATATTTACTTACGTACAAAAAAAAAGCGCAAGTACCAGTCCGACACAAAACGCAAAGGCAGGATTGAGGACCTTAAAATAGTGCAACAAAAAGTTAAAAGTTTGTTTTTGGTATGTTGATTATGTGCATTATTTTTTAGTAGCTGTAGAGCTCCATGTGAAAGGCCTCGTCCAGGGAAGTACTTTACCTATTTCTGCCATTATTTATATAGTAATGTAAGCTTTACTTTGTTCCGGTTTTGGAGGGTGCTGGTGAATTACAGGCACATAGCACTTGTCAACTTATGTCTCAGGGTGGCCGTGCTTCTAAGTTCTTCTAATCTATTCGATTTAAAGCTCTGACCACTACCCCCAGGCGCACGACTCACTTGGTATTATATATGTATATAAAAAAATCATGATGTTCCTAATATAGACCAGCGAATTTATTGTTAGTGTTTTACAAAATAGTATATCTTAACATGGCTAATCGAGCAAGTCTTCATTTTCTAAACTAATTGTGTTTTGTTCCAGAATGCAATTGTAACGGGCATGCTCGCCGCTGTCGGTTCAACATGGAACTCTATAAGCTGTCAGGACGGGCCAGCGGCGGCGTCTGTCTCAAATGCCGTCACTACACAGCCGGTCGGCATTGCCACTACTGCAGAGAGGGTTATTACCGCGACCCTACGAAGCCTATTACCCACAAGAAGGCATGCAAACGTAAGTATTACATAATAATATATATCAGCAACTTTCGGACATATTCGTGCTTTCCGAGTTCTCCCGATTATCACAGCATATGAAACTTCTCAGTCGTGCGCCACAAGTCGTAAAATTCGTTTTTGTTCATATTACGCCACGTTACGACGGCGTAATTCAAATACGACGACCATAGAGCTATTTGCACCTGCCGTTTGATATCAAACACGTTATTTTTAAACTTTAAAAGTCTTTAGTACCCTTTTCACTGTTCAACTTATATTTTTGGTACTAACAAACCGGAATAGAGAAAACGAAAGAACGTTTATTACTTTTGTTTCATTAAAAACAGATTAAATGATAGCTAACCGACACGAGGTTATAAACCGACTACGTAATATACAGGTTGTTACTTAAGTTTTCCTTAACTGTGCATGTTTTCCTTCAACTCTTTCTCCTTCTTGTTCTACGCATGTAGAAATTCTAATTACATTGAGTGAACTCAAATCAAATTCCTAGCGAGAGAATCATTTCATTTCAATTTATTTTTATTTTAGGTTTTAAATAGGTCCTTATTATATGATACCCTGTGAATGTGTTTATAAAGAAAAATAATCTCTAAAACGATTAAACAATCTCAAGACACTGAAATTCCTGAGTTCCTGATTTTTTCGCAATAATAAGGCCTTGCGTCGACGCCTTCGATTGGGTCGTGCAAGTTCGCCTTACCAACTTGTAATATCCAATAGAACTGATTTCTTAGCAGACTATATTACCGTCTCGGTATAAACAAGAAAAAATAAAACAAAACACAAGTTCACCGTGCATTCATAAAGTTGTTAAAAATAAACACAATCTGGTTGGGATGTTCCGCAGGCAGTTTTGAAATAATGGCCGCCGTCCAAATGCCTCCCTTGGGGCTAGTGGACGACAAGAATTTTTCAGTCGCACAGGTTTGGATTTAGGTATCGAAAACTCAACATCATATAGGTACTTCAATATGGACCACTCTAAAAACAACATTCAAGGGTTTCATACTAAATGTTTACCAACTACAACATCTGGCAAATGGGTAAAAGTGCTATGAAAAATTTATGTATCTAGGTAGTCTACTGGCAAGATACGGTATGGCAATAAAGGTGATATGGAACGGAGAATGACAGCCGGCAATCAGGTAAATGGAGCTCGTTTGTAGGTAGCCAATTTGTATCAAAAATGACGTGTTTAGTTGTTCATAGATGCGTGCTGATATCTCTCGGATTAGATTGGTTGTGCAGTGAGGTAGTTGGGATGTCATCTGGTTAGCGACGTACAGTGAAACAGGAACAGTTTTAGACAGTGTGTTTATTCGTTTATGGTGCAAATAAAAGTGAATTAATAATTGAATTACATATGAAGAATCTTATGCCTACTCAACATTTCCTTCAATACGCAATCCAGTGGCTAAAGATGTCGTTGACGTTGCATCAACACGTTACAACTCCCCCGAAAAAGATCAATGGTTCACCACCGGTTTTCGAAGAAGAACATGATATGTTAATAAAGGAAACATTGATTTACAATATATCTTAAAAGATAATTTAAACTAAAAGTATATATATTTTTTTTAAAATTAAACACCCTGATGTACGATGGTGACCGTCGAGTGTGTCAGAAAAAGCATGAAAGTAGAGTAAATTCTGTAGAAATGAGAGCTTCACGTATGTGCGGAGATTACAGACAGAACTTGAAAACAGAATACCGAAAAGTGAAGTAAGAGTGCGTGAAAAATGATGTTATGACCAGGATAGAAAAAATAAACGTTTCAATGGTTTGGTCATGTAGAAAGAATGGATGTAGATTAACAGCACGAATTTATAAAGAATGAAAACTTGGGGAAAGGTAGAAGTTTGACGTACATATCTCGGTCAGATAGGGGTTGTCCTTGAAAAAACCAGATTAAAAGTACCAACAATAAACGGGTTAAGGAGATGAAAGAGGTTTGTCAGGAGCGTAACAAGTTGAGGTGAGGTTCATTGTCCTTGTTTGCGTTAGTGGGAGACAGGCGTGATCTTGCCAATCTTTGCTGTTGACCCTGTGTATTATTAAGGCTGCTACTAAACGAACTGCATGCGTAAAATCCGTATAACACAACTCCATGCAAACGAAACTGACTGCAGTTATCGGCGCGCGGCTAACTCACGGCTCAGTGTAAATGTTGAAGTCGAGATGGAAGAACGGATGCTATCACTATTGTTCGAACAAAAACGAAAGCGTGCAGCGTGGATGGATCCATTATTGTTATGTTGTTCTAGAGAAGGCGATTATATGTAGTACATAAAGTACGGTAAATTAACACAAGGTGAAAATAAATTTTACTACTACTTTAGAATGTTGATGGCCACTTTTAACAAATTATACAATGTGCCTAATAAAAACAAAAAAAAATACTATTTTTAATTCTCGGACTTACAGTTCGCGTCGACCCTTGAAATTGAAGTCTCAAGTGTATGCGGTCGAGGTCTCGGCAGCATGAACTTGATTACGCATTGACTACAAACGTGCATTCAATGTGTTAGCAGCCTAAGTGGACCTCAATCCGCTCCTGTATTTAAAGCCCTTGTAGCACTGGACTTTCGCTGATGTGGCGAATCGGTTCGTGTATCGAATTGTTTCCCTTACGTGATAATGGGATTGTGTGCAGCCGCTTTATGATTATTTTTATTGCTGCGCGAATAGGGGTTTTCTACTGTTTGGCGACCCTGGTGGCTTTACGGGTAGCACTGGAGGCCCGGTGGGATTTTGGGAAACGAGCAGCACAGAACTGAATTGCGTCACTCTGATATTCACAGTACAGGATGTTCCTTAGTTTGAGACCAGGTATATTTTTGTTTTTAATGTTTTCGCCGACTTACCTCAAGCCTCACGGGGAGATATTGTACAGCTTAACATGAATTGTTGTCTTTTATTTCATTGTTTTGTAATTGCTCTGTCCAATGAGCTCAGCATAAACCAGTAAAATATATAGAGAGATAGATAGATAGATAACACGTTTATTCAGCACAAATACAAACAGAAACAAAACATTAACAATCACTTCGCAAAGTATAACACAAACAATTCAAACGCTCTACTGCCTCCTGATTGGTTAAAATATTTACGGTACTTGGCCAATCACGGACACTTTTATTCTAACTCTTTGGTTTTTGTAGCGTCTGTTTGGTTTTCATTTGAGTTTGTTTTCGTGGATTCTTATCAAAATATATTTAAATAGGTTCGTCCAGGGAAGGACTGCCACCACCTTACCTATTTCTGCCGCCAAGCAGTAATGTGAGCACAGGCACAAGGAACTTGTCAACTTGTGTCTCAGGGTGACGGGGACAGTGGCAGTGCCCCTAAGATCTTTGCAATTAAAAGCTCTAGGTGGCAACTGCAACTGTTATGGATAGGCGTGTCGCTTACCAACAGCCGCTTGACTTGTTCGTCCCGTCACTTGATATTATAAAAAAAAAATTGTCATAAAAACATTAATATTTTTTGTAACGTAAATATACTGTGACGTTATTGTAAGAATGTTAATATCTTTAAACTTTTTTCGTTTAGGTAACGCAGATGGCGCGACTTGATACTTAGGCACGTTGGTAAATGTACCGTGTGTAAGAATGTTAATCTTTTTAAATTTATCTCTCAAAGACACTCTGGAACCCAAATTGTAAATTGCCCTAACCGCACGTTTCTGCAGGACAAAGATTCTGTTAATTAATATTGGCGGCATTACTCCAAAGCAAAACGTCGTAGGTCATTAGTGAAAGTATCTTCTTTATTAATAATAATAATAATAATATAATAACGCACACACTCAACATAGCCCCGCACTAGGGAAACCCTGTGTCGCGGGTGCCATGGACACACACATAGACAACCACAAATTACACCCAAACTCACGAGAGAAATAAATGTAGGCCATACAAATGTTTCTCCCGGCCCCGGAATCGAACCTGAGACCTCTGCGTGGCAGCCCGGCATGGTAACCGTTCGGCCACGGAGGCAGTTAATATAAAATAAGCTGTACTAATAATGTGATTCGACTCCTGGCATTCTCCCACTGGGCCAACACAGCTCTTACCCCTTTTGGATAGCTAAGCTATTACTTTCATGTTCATTTTCTTTATAAAAAATATATTTGCACGCTCAAGACTCACCTTCTAAATGTCGCTATCTACATTCCGCTACCCCCAACATGGGCTCAGATTCGCAACCGCTATAAAGTCGCTACTAAACGCGAATTGCCTCGGGTCAGCGGTCGCCTTTATATGTCCCGTGCAACTTGGATTTCCAGTAGACTAGTTCTACTGCATTGTTTTAACCCAATTCACAGTTGGATATAGATATCAGCTTTAAGATTTAAATTTGTAGATAAATTTAATCACACAAACTTAGGCTACTAACTTATGCAAAAAAAAAACAAATATTTTCACAGTGATGGAGGTTTACAACAACAACGGATCTAGTTCTGTTGCACTAAAGGCGATATTCGAACAAAAATGTGTAATAACCTGATGTGCAAATGCTCGGCTATTGCAGACTTATTGAGCTGACGGTTCCTAACAGCCGCGATATGTTCTTCGTTAGTATCGCCCGACAAGTCGCCAGATATCGTGTGTTGTGTGTCGGTCTAGTGGCAGCCATAGTGCACAAATAAATAATGAAGACCGAGTGCGGGTATTTAGAAAAACTCGCTCGGCTAGAAGATGTTGACACCCGCCTCTTGAGTCCCTTCGAGACTATGGACGTTGCAACGTCGAAGTAATTAAAATTTGTTTCATATATGATTAAGTCTCGAACTAAAAAAAAATAAAAAACTAAAATCATGTGTGAAAATCGTGAAAGTTTAAATCAAAGTATTGATGTGCTGTTGACTGTACTTTATATTTTATAACCAAAAACAACACAACACTACTCAATTGCAACGTAACATCGCGTACAGAGAAATGCCTAATGATTCTTGCAAGGCAAGGCCTGTCTTACAGGTAATCAATATA